GATGTCGACATTCTGCTTAATTGAAATTTCTGTTTTTAACATCGAGTAATAGCACAAAAGAGATGAGGGCTTCTGTGTTTTGCTTAATTCGTTGAAATATACTAATAATCTTTTCTCGCTTGTCAAGTTGATTATCTTTTTTTCATTGCACCATTTTTCGTACCGATCAAAAGCTTCTTTATATTTCTTTCGTGATTTAGCTGGCACCAGATCCGAAACAACATTAAAAGCTTCCTTTTCAATATCAGATGGCAGATCATCGCTTAAACTCATTTTAAATGTGAAATTTTCACAGATTTGACAATGACTGACAGAAGAAATTTATTTACAATCGTAGCTATGCTTGTTGCTAAGGTAATATAAATTCTTATTACCTGCATCCTGTATTCAATTTTTTTAAAATTTTATTTTTACTCAAATATTTAATAAAATAATAATAGTTATAGTTGTAGATAAAATGTTGTACGTAACACGTAGGATACTATATTATTAACGCACTTATGTGATTACACCACTCGGCCTACGGCCTCGTCGTGCAAATTTTCTCATGCGTGCGTTAATAATATCCATATCCTACTTGTTACGTAAATAACTATACCCTTCTTCATAATCATTTTGCTACAGTTATATAATATAATATGTAATTATATGAATATTCCTTCGTTGAAAAATTGGGCGGGGGGGGGAAGGTGGAGCGGGGTCGGTTGGGTTGGGTTGTTGAGTTTGGGTTGGTTTCGAAGCTTCGCAAGAAGTAATTCTTTTCTTAGATTATTATAAGAAACGCTACATTAAATGTCCGCGTGAAGATTGTCGATAACGCGCATGTCTGCGAAAAGTAGCCGGCGCTGGCGCTAGACGCTTGTGTTATTAGCACCATTTTATTCCATTTCTTAGTCAAATTCCCTAGATCACTAGTTAAATTTTAAACCATAGTTAAAAATCTATACCTTTTAACTTGGCAGTTAATTTAACTGATCAGTTAGAGAAAACGGTGCCATTAGAGGTTAACTACGGTTTCGCGAAAGGATCGAACGGTCGATTTGCAAGGGTTCAAGAAATCGATTGAAACTTTCTTACCTTATTTCTACATCTAAACGCAGTACTTTAAAAAAAAATCTCGTCCATTGACAACTTTGTTCTTATTTTTATTTTTTTCTTCGCTGTGTTAAAAATGAAGAAATTTCATTTTTTTTTAAATAACTCTTTTATTTCAAAATGTATCGATTTGAAATTTGGACAAAATGTAGATCTTACTAATGACAATTAATCCATGAAAAAAATTTGTTTAGATTATAACGTACAGGGGGAGCTGGTGATATTTTAAAATTTAACAATTTTTAAAGGGTAAATAATCGAAGAAGCAACTTTGTTTTATAAATTTGAGTATAACACGTTAAAGTATTGATATTTGACTATTATTTGATATATTAACTTTTTTATGCAAATGATGTTTCTGTGGCCAGGATAAGTTTTGAATTAGCAGTATTCATAAATGTTTAGTTTAGTACATTTTGTCATTTTTATTCAAATATATTTTATTAATAATTAAGTATACACATAATGACGTTTAATATACAGGGTGTTTCACGTACTTAGTCCGTTGGGAGTTTCTAGGGAATCGCGAAAGACATCGATTTAAAATTTTAATAGCGTAAATTATTCGCTTTAGACTCTTTTCCTAAATTATTTTGAACAAAATAATAATTCCTGTTTTACCGGAATACCTCATACATTTTCACATTATTTAATTCTATATAAAATGATAAAATGGCTATATCATCCTATACCTAAAGTCAATATTTGTTAAGTTATTAATTTTTCAATCAAATATTTTAATTAATTTTAAACAATCACAGATTTGGTGGTAACCATGGATACTATCACATTAAACCACATGTTGAATTTCAGAGGTTTCTGATACAAAATAGTATTTAATTGAAAATATTAGAAATTGTTAAATGTCTCTGAAATTTTAACTTTAGTAAAGAGTTACTATAGGCAATACCAATATAAAGATTCTTTAATGTTCTATTTGATTATGTTAAAACATACAGAGTTTTATATTTATAATAAAAGCGTTATTATTGTTTGAAGTTTGCCTAATTTCAAGTGGTTTTTCTCAAGGTATTTTTTGAAAAACCTTTAAAAGACTAAACAATGTTTTAATATTCCAAAAATTCCAACCCAAAAATTCCAACCCAAATTAGAGGCTATATTTGATTAACGTGCATTTTAACGAAAAAAATTAATATCTTGAAAACTATTGACTTTATGTATAGTCTAAATAAAATTGTATATGCTATTAAATTTCAAATCCATATCGTTTGCGTTTCTCCAGAAACACCCTGTATAGCATTATATTAAATATAAAAAAATGCAAAATAATTACTTACGAAAAACAAGTGAATAAAAAATATAGATATATCTAAAAAGCCGATTGCAATATAAAAAGTCTTTATTCTAATTTATTTATGGGTAAATATTACTTTCCTCAGTTAGGAATTAAAATTAAAGCTTGCTTATCGAGTAAAAAATAAATTGAAGCTTGGTTGTGGAGCAAAAAATAAAATTAAAGTAGGTTATAATTTATAACTTGCCGACACTGTCTATAATAATTATTACTATTTAGTATATTCATTTTAAATAAATTAATATTTTAAGTTTATAGTACACTTATAAATTGAAACGCAATCAGTCATTTGTAACTTATAAACTAAACTGTTAAATTATCATCATGCTTCCAATGGTAGGTAGAAAAGTCTGTGATGCCTACTATGATCAATATTAGTAAACTTAAAAAAAATTTAAAATTTATAAATAAAACTAATTTTAGCTCCATCTATGGAGATTTTTTTAAATAAATATGTAAGAATTGTATGTTATATATAAATCTATTGTATGTAATATATAATACATTACCTTATAAAACTAGATAAAAGAATTTATAATTTGTAAAACACGTTAGTATTACGATCTTTGAAGGACTTACTTAAAAATGGTGTCTCTTGTAGAAACATAATTTGCATTTAGAAGTTTATATATCAAATAATAGTTAATTATCAGTACTTTAATGTGATATACTCAAAATTATAAAACAACGTTGCTTCTTCGACTTTTTAATCCTTAAAAAATGGTAAAATTTTAAATTAAATTGTCCCCCGCGCCCCCTGTATGTTAAAATCTAAAAAAAATAATACGTGGATTTATTGCCACTAATAAGGTCTACATTTTATCCTAATTTCAAATCGATACGTTTTTAAATATAAATGTTATTACAAAATATCGAAATTTATCTATTTTTAACACAGTAGAGTGACTTAAGGCCTGAAAACCACAGCGGTCAATAGATGAAAATTTTTTTTGAAAAAAATGTACCATTTAGGTGTACAAACAAGGTAAAAAAAAATTCAATTCTGCACAGTTTCCCTTAGCAAAAAATAGGTATTTCAAAAATATCAACGAAAAATCTTTATAAAGGGTGATTCATTTAGAGGTACTTTTTTCATTAGAGATTTTATGGCAGATCAGGCATGCGTTGTGTCAAACTGTCATGGTATTTTCGTTAAGTATTGTTTGACATTTTATCATGGAAAGACTTAGCACGATACAGCGTCTACAAATTTTACGTAAGGATCTTGGTTTAAAAGCATACAAAATTCAACTCGTGCAACATCTTAAACCGGCCGACCTTCCAAACCGTCACCGTTTCAGTCTTTGGGCTCTTGAAAAGCTTGAAGAAGATCCACTGTTTTCGACCAAAATTTTATTCAGCAATTTCTGGCTTAATGGCTACGTCAATAAGCAAAATTGCCGTATATGGGCTGAAGAGCAACCCGAAGAGGTTCAAGAGCTGCCATTACATCCAGACAAAACAACGGTTTGGTGTGGTTTATGGGCTGGTGGGATTATCGGTCCATATTTCTTCAAAAATGAGGCCGGCCGGAACGTAACTGTGACTGGCGCCTGTTATCGCGTCATGATAAGAGACTATTTGCTGCCTGAAATTGAAGCCCGTGATCTCGACAACATTTGGTTTCAACAAGACGGCGCTAGTTGCCACACAGCCCATGAAACCATGGCTTTATTGCGGGAACAATTTGGCGAACAGTTAATTTCCCGCTTTGGACCGGTGAATTGGCCGCCTAGGTCATGTGATATCACACCTCTGGACTTCTTTTTTTGGGGCTACGTAAAGTCCAAAGTCTACATGGATAAGACCGCTACAATTGATGAATTGAAAGCCAACATTACTCGAGTTATTGGCCAAATACCACTTGAAATGCTACAACGCGTCACCAAAAATTGGAATTTCAGAACCATTAGATTCAGAGTACTCAAATTAGGTAATCCTCCTTGGTGCCCCGCTTGTTAGATTTTTGAACTAGCACAGTGTAATCGGTATACCAAAGCAATACCTATACCGGTATACCAAACCACTTGAAAGCTCCTAAAGCATTTATTACTTTGATAGAACAATAGATGGCGCAAAAAACTTAATTCCTTTATTTTTTTATGACAGTGGGCGATGTCTAACCTTCTTTGTCTCTGGGGAGAATCTCTTGATCTTCAGATTTTTTAAAAAAGTTATATTTAATTTTTGTTTTTGAATGAAAAAAAGGGAATGGTCCAAAAAACGAAACTTATAGTCCAGTTTACATTGTAACCGATAACAACTGATGAATAATTTGCTAAAATTATAACAGTCAAAAACAAAATAAACTAGATTTTATTTAGGAAAATTTTGTGGCCCCGATAAATTTACCCGTCATATGATCATAATCAGTTTATTAATTTCATAAGCAAAACAATGCAAAGTAGGTTACCTTCGAATTAGTTTTTCTCGAAATTTTTCATTTAAACCAACCAAGTTTTAGTTCTGGATAACTTGGCAAACCGCCTCAAAGAAAAATGCAGACTTTAAATAACATTCTAGAATAAATATTCCTTTAAAAAAATAAGTACCTATTTCAAATACATGAGTAATTTTTAATAATTTTTAGGTCGGAATGCTATCTGAAAAATATTCCAGTTATTATAAATAAACCAATTGATCAAAATACTCCTCAAAATGCTCATAAAATAAAACAAGGTTGGATAAATGATTTTTTTGGATGTTTACAGCCTGTTTTTTCCATAATTGGAAAAGGAGTTGAAGAACATAATTATTTTCAAGGTAAGGAATATTACTTTTTTTGGAAATATCATTACGTAAGGACTGTTTTATCTTTACGTAATAATACAGATCGGAATCGGCAACTCAAATTAATATTTTTACATTCGAGTGTGATTACTATTTAATTAATTCTATAGAAAGTGCTACTATTAAAAATAGATATTAGCCGCAGAAGACACCCACATCCAGCAAACACAGGTGAAGCTGTGCAGTTGTTAAAAGCAGGAGAAATCCGAGGGTGGGTAACCGTCTACACTAAAGGTGTCCGTGAGAGTCTATGTTTACGTTCAGTATACTGAAAATGAACATAGACATAGTGCAGACGGTTGCACTCGCTCGTATTTCTTCTGCTTTCAAGAACTGCATAGCTTCACATGTGTTTGCTGAATGTGGATGTCTGCGGCTAATATTACACCCTTTTGGTGCTCATGAGTGACATGCCGATGGTTTTAGTAGCTCTCCCGGTTTCGCCGTACCTACCATACGCCTAGTAGGGATAGAAGGAGCTAGGGACAGAAGGAAGATATATTGGTTGTCAGGAGACAATTATGCAGACCCAAACCTAGGTACGACACGGAATCCTCCTAGACCTGGGAGTTAGTATTTACCACAAGCGTTTGGGGTTTATGTTTGCAGCTGCGTAACTTTTAATAAGTAGTTATGTACTGCATCTTGGCCGTATGTTATCATCTACGTCGGGTTGTTTTCGCATAAAGGTTCAGGGTGGACTATTGGGTTCTTTATATTCTTTTGTATAGACAATCTAATGCTAATACTGTAAATAATAAAGCTAATGTTTGCTTAAGTATGTACGTTGCCGTTTATGTGCAGATTTAAAATGAATGACATTTTCACGGTGCTGTTCTGAGAGGTGATTTTTGGACTTTCTGTGAAACCTAATTTTTTTTATATTCTTGTTAATTAGGTCATAACTAAAATTTTAAGAGCAAAATAAAAAAAAATTGACGGTTAATTTTGTTTTAATTGGATGTTTATTAAAAATATGTACGCACACTTTCAATTCTCCAATTAAAACTTGCGATTCTGAGAGAACAAAAATTATAGAATACGTATACTGAAAATGACAATTTAAACGTCAAATAAATTTTTAATAGATCTAAGTTTCATGGCATCCTTTAAGGATATATTAATTAAGGGAACATAAATGTATACGTCAAAGGTTAGATTAAAAGTTTGAACGTTTATTGCAACAAAACAGTAAAATATATAAAAAAAAATAAAAACCTTTTTTTAAGTTATGCAAATATTAAATATTTAAATTAAATCGCTAGTTTTAATTGGATAATTGAAAGAGTGCATAATATTTTTAATAAACAGCCAATTAAAACAATTCAAACCGTCAGTTTTTTTTATTTTGCTCTTAAATTCTTAGTTATGACCTAATTAACAAGAATATAAAAAAAAAATAGGTTTCACAGAAAGTCCAAAAATCACCTCTCAGAACAGCACCGTGTTTTAGAAGAATAAAATATCAATATTATGTATAAAAGGGTTTTTTGGTTGCTAAACGTACACTTAATCGTTGTCAATAAATTAAAACTAGTTTTAATAACTGGAAAAGAGTTAATCGGTAAAAATTATATAAAATGTAATGTAGGATAAAAGCTCCTGTTTTGTGGCCAACTCGTTTGATTTTTTTTTTAAATATTAAGGGAACTGTTTACAAATATCCCTGAATCTAATTTCCCGCCGAATCCTTGCAACCCATGGGTTATTGTTTTTGCTTTAGTGCATTCAGTTTATTTGTTGGTATCATTGTAAAGAAATGGAGGTTGTGTAAAAGGTGTGTAAAAGGTGTGTAAAATGTGTTGACATCCAATCTTTAGCAAAAACGTTAAGAAACCTAGGTAAGTTTTTAGATCAAAACATTTAATAGAATAGGAGCTTTAATATGACTGATAATTTTTTAAATTTTATTTTGTTTAACAATGACAATAAAATAATGCTTATAATGTTTAACCAACCGGTTTTGGGTAAGAAGCGGTGGCCAAAACAGGTCATAATAAAATGGCCATTTCTCCAGTTTTGGCCACTGCCCTGGCCAAAACGGGGGTAACGTTTTCCATTTTTGGCCACCAATGCCAAAAGTTATTTTATAGCCACTACTTTTGGCCACCAGGCTGTTTTTAGGTACCTAGGTCCTAGCTACACTAAAGGCTAAGACTTTTTGAATCAGATTATAATACCTATAGGTACCTACTTAGCTTTCCAATCAGTACTTATTATAATCGTCCTTTTTTTGCTGCAGTTTTTAAATGGATACGACAAAGAAAATAAATTTAGCAAAGCAAAAAACAAGGTACTTCTTTTAATACTAACCGGATCAACTGAAAAATGCCTTAGTGGCTATTTGAAAGGTCCGGTGGCTAAATCTAGCAAAATATTCGGCGTTCCTAGAACAACCTTACGAAATAAAATAGCCGGCCGGTCACTCGAAAAAGAAACGGAAGACTGGGATGCCAAGTGTTCTGACCTCTGATTCGTGGCAGAAGCTAAGGAGCCTTGGAGGCAGAAAAACAAGAGAGAAAAAGGAAAAGAGAAAACAAGAAGCAAGAAGGTGCAGCGAAAAAAGAAGAAAGAAGCGGAAAAACCAAAAAAGACTAAGTTAAAGACTACAAAAGCCAAACCTACTGACAAACCCGTTTCCGCAAATGGAGGCACATCCTCAGATGAAGATTCAAAGGAGGAAAATAAGGCAACTAAAATAGAAGTATATAAAACCAAAGAAGAGATTCATAAGGGCACATTCGTCACTGACAAACTTGTTTCTGCAAATTGAGGCACATACTCAAATGAAAATTCAAACAAGGAATATACGGAAACTAAAATAGAAATATATAAAACCAAAAAAGAGATGAATAGTGACAAACCCGTTTCCGCAAATGGAGGCACATCCTTAGATGTAAATTCAAACACAAATACGGCAACTAAAACTGAAGTATATAAAACCAAAGAAAAGATTTATAAGGGCACATTTGTCATTGGAAATAACGAGAAAAGTTACTTTCCTGGGACGGTTATAAAAATAAAATGGGTGTATGGTTTCTTCTAAGGCTAAGGGTACATTTATTGGAAATAGCCAGAAATAAAAAACGAGTTGCTGTATGAATATGAGAATGTAATTGAAATGATATAAGGATGTAAAGAATCCGTTCAGAAGAACACGAGGGAGCATATTTAGTGGAAAAAATGAAAAAATATAAAGATTAGTTACCGAACTAAACAGGCGCACTGAAATATATAACTATAACACTGAAATATATAACGCTCTGAAATTTAGAACTCTATAGAGTTATATTTGTTTTAAAATGTATTTTTTAGAATGTATTTATTTTTTAGAATGTATTTTTGTTATAACTTTTATATTTTTTAACTTTTTTATTACAAAAAATAATAAAAACTGAATAAATATCGCTTTATTTAATTGGTGGCCAAAACTGGGTTTTCCAATGGCCAAAAACGGTGTTTTCCTGGCCAAAACCGGTGAAATGCGACTTTTTCAATATAAATATATTTTTGGGCTACATACGTGCTTTCTCTTTTTATTCTATGTAGAATCTACATTGTAGATATACTAAATTAACGATAGAGATAGAAACAGTTAAAATAGTTTTTTCAAAGCTAGACTCTATAATATTGGCAGCGCAGTAAACTCAAAATTTCTCTTAGTGGCCTTAGTAGTCTCCCTATTGAAGCTGCCACATTTTTTAGATCGTCTGGGATGAAAACTTTGTATCACTTTGGCCTACAAACCATGTCAATACTGTCAATACCCGACATCAATTATTTTACGACCCAGCTTTTTCATTGTCAGTCGACTACCTCAGTCGTCATTTCAGTTCGACATGCAGTGCCGACAAAACCTTTTGATTTAAAAAAAATATCAGAGTTTGATTATAATTGTAATATGAGTAGAGTAACAGACAAATCATTGCGACATAATGTTATTATTCATGTTCATGTTCGAAAATGTCGACGTCGTCAAAAAATTCAACATGCTGTGCCGTTAAAACTAAAATGTCATTCTTTAATTTACAAAGAATTTTAAAATATAATTAATAAAACATTTATGTGGACCAATATTTCACGTCAGTTTCCGTAAACACAAAGGGTCTTAATATATTAAAATTGTACCTGATTGACTTAGAAACAACCTTTATCAAGCCGAATCAGAGAACAACACTCTAGTGAAAAATAACGATCACTTTTTGGAAATATTTAGAAGAATGGACGCGTCGTAATTGCTGCTCCTTTTACACGGGATATAAACTCGTGTAGGATCGGTAACTCGGTTTTTTATTTTGATATCGTATAGTAAGGACCCCTTACAATATTCTACGGTACTAACTTCAAATACTGACCTGAATTTTTTAACCACTCTGCGCCTGTTTATTTTAAGTATCGTTTTTGTCACATACGTTAACCTCTTTCACTGAAAAGCTTTGCTGTTTAATGTTTTAAACGATTCCTTATTACAATAGAATTAACGTTTGCTGGCCTGTGGAATTTTTCTCATAATTTTTATTGTTATTTTAATGTTTTGTTCGTAACAAACTTCAGCGTTGATTGATTGGTTGTTAGAAATGTGCTATTATTATCTACTGAACATGAGTATAAACATGAACCGGCTATATATAGCCGGCTCATGAGTATATAATGCGAATTAAATCATGCGGTTTTAAGCTTTGGTACTTCCTGTTATTGATGCGATCCACTTAATCCTTTCGTGTTTTGTCTCCTTCGGGAGTCTTAAACGGTGTTTTCACCTACACTAGTAGTGTTACTTAGCACTTCGCACTTGTTAAAAGATTACTTAATACATTGTATTTGAGCAAATTTATGTTTCTATAAAATCTCTTATTGATTTTTGGGAAGCCCAATTGTATTTGATAAAAATAAAAAAATTGTTTAAACAATTTTTGTCTTCAATTGATAACAAGGGTATACAGAAATATTGTTACCATAATTAAAATTATTAT